GATTGGCACGGCCTTCGGGCCGATCGGGAGTTGCGTTGCGTTGCGGGGCCATCTCGGGGCGCATCCTGGAGCCGTCTTAGGACGTCTTCGGAGCCAGGCCACTCTGGTCGCTTAGGCAGCCTACGGAACTGTCTGAGCGGCGGGGCGGGAGGCCCCCGAAGCTTCGGAAGAGGTCAGAAATGTCGTGGGCCAACACGGGGGGGGGTCTGGGAGGGTGTCCAGGCCCGGTTTCGCTCCCCCTCTTCCTCTTCCTCCTCCTCCTCCTCCTCCTCCTCCACATCCTCATCCTCCCCCTCCTCCTCCTCCTTCTCCTCCTCCTTCTCCTCCTCCTCCTCCTCCTCCTCCTCCTCCTCCTCCTCCTCCTCCTCCTCCTCCTCCTCCTCCTCCTCTTCCTTCTCGTCCTCGTGTTCGTCCCTCCTCCTCCTCATCATCATCACCACCATCAGCATCAGCATCATCGCCAGCAGTTATCAGCATAATCATCATCATCATCATCATCATCATCATCATCATCATCATCATCAGCAGCAGCAGCAGCAGCAGCAGCAGCATCATCAGCATCATCATCATAATCAGCATCAGCAGCAGCAGCCTCATCATCAGCACCTTTATCATCACCACAATCATTATCATGAGCAACATCGCCAGTAGTTTTCATCAGCATCATCATCAGCATCATTAGCAGCATCATCAGCAGCAGCCCCATCATCAGCATCATTATCAGCATCATCAGCTGCACCATCGTCATCATCCTCATCATCATCAGCATCGTCATCAGCAACATCATCCTCATCAGCAGCAGCATCATCATCATCGTCATCATCAGCATCATCAGCAGCAGCATCATTTATCATCAGCAGCATCGGCGTCGTCATCAGCATCAGCAGCAGCATCATCATAATCAGCACCATCAGCCGCAGCAGCAGCATCATAATCATCATCAGCAGTAGAATCATCATGATCATCATCAGCAGCATGATCAGAATCGTCATCATCATCATCATCATCATCATCATCATCAGCAGCATCATCATCATCATCCTAATCAGCATCCTCATCGTCATCATCAGCAACATCAGCATCATCATCACCGTCATCATCAGCATCATCAGCATCAGCAGCATCAGCAGCAGCATCAGCATCAGCAGCATCATCGAAATCAGCATCAGCATCAGCGACATCATCGTCATCGTCAGCTCCTCATCATCATCCTCATTCCTCCTCCTTGTCCTCGTCGTCGTCCCTCCTCCTCCTCCTCATCCTCATTCCTCCTCTTCCTCTTCATCATCAACATCAACATCATCATCAGCATCAGCATCATCAGCACCATCCTTCTCATCATCATCATCAGCATCATCATCAGCATGGTCATCACCAGCATCATCAGCATCATCAGCATCATAAATCAGCATCGTCAGCAGACTCACCACCACCACAAGTATCATCAGCATCAGCATCATCAGCATCACATCAGCATCGTCATCATCATAGGCATCATCCTCATCCTCCAGTTCCTCCTCCTCCTCCTCCACTTCCTCCTCCACTTCCTCCTCCTCCTCCTCATAGTCCTCGTCCTCGTCCTCGTCCTCATCCTTGTCTTCATCCTGCTCCTCGTCCTCGTCCTCGTCCTCATCCTCGTCTTCCTCGTCCTCCTCCCTCCGTAGCCGTTTGGGCTCAAGCCGCTCAACAGCGAGCGACAGCCCCGCGGCTCAAGCTGGATAGGCATCTTCCCTCTGACCAGATGTTACAGGCGCAACCCGTTGTGCTTGAGGAGATGGTGCGGGAGGTCGTGGGGGATGCGCGCCCAGTCGTCATGACGTTCATCGCTCAGCTGCCGATCGTAAGGCTCGCCGTGTCTGGGAGCGCACATCGGCAGACAGGGCGATCATAAAGCTGTCTGAAGAGGTGACCCGCCTCAACGGCATGCTGACCAATCTCTCGCAGGAGCTGTGTGTGCCTGGCGTGGCGGACGAGGTGATGAACAGGCTGCTGGCGGCGGCGCCTGCTTTGCCTGCTCTCCTGGCGGGGCAGACGCCAGACGACCTCGACGTCCTCAGGCGCAACACGGCGTTGCACTCGGCCGCCAAGCTTGACTTCGTCACTGCCGCCCCATGTATCCTCCGACGTGTGCAGCGCAGTCGGAGGCTCGGAGAGCGATCTCCACCTGCTGATCCAGACGGCGTTCATCAGGCTGGTGCTGGCGCGTTAGTGGGTCGGCCGCATTTCGAGGGCTCCACCGCCCCCACCGTGCAATTCTCCGACGTCGACTGCAGCGGTTGTTCCTCCGCTTCCTCCTCCGCCTCCCCGTCAGCAACCGCCAGCGAGGGGGGGGGGGGGGCGACTTCTGCCAGAAGGAGGCCATGGGCGAGCATAGGTTTCTCACCGTGGGGCCCCACCCCCCCGCGGCTGATGGCCCTGTGGGTGGGGCTGGTCCTGCCTTCGACGATTGGGACGACGACGACACCCGGTCCACGCACGCGGGCACCTGCCGCAGCTCGGGGCCCAGTGGCGCTCGGAGGCCTCCCCCGCGGCAGCACGGCAGCCGCAAGCGGGCCGCGCGGCTCCGTGGCACGGCGTCCACCTTCGCTGGGCGTGCCGGCTCTCATGCTCGTGGCGATCGCACGGCGCGGCTTGCAAGCACGCCTGATGGCTGCACTGTCCGCGTGTTTTGTGCTTGTGCACTTCACGGCCGTGGTTCGCCACGGCCGCCCACCGCGCTCTGGCCGGGCGCGCCTGGCTGCTGCCGCCCGCCGGCCGCTCATCGTCGAGTTCTTCGGCGTCTGAGCGTCCCTCCTGCCTCTCGTCGGCCTCCCCCCTCCCTCCTTGCACGCCGGCCAATTCGCTGGCTGGTGCCCCTGCCTAGCTGTTACGCTGGTGCGGATTTCGCCGCCTCGCCGCCTACGAAAAAAGCGTTTTGTGTGCGTGCGTGTACTTCACGACCTTCCTGCTCCGCACTGTGATGGCCGCCACCGTCGGGTACCACCTCGTGTCGTGCAGCTCCGCCCGGCTGCCGCTCCTCGTCCTTGTCGTCTACGCGGAGCTCGTGGAGTTCGGGGCCAGTGGCCGGTTTCCCTCGGGATCCGCTTGCATCCCGGCGAGCTGGGCGTCCTCGCCTTGGACGCCCGAAGTGTACACCCTGCGAACTGCTTAAGAAATCATGGGTTAAGAAACTCATAGTCTCAGATTTTGAATAAGAACCCAGAGTTCCTATAAAAATCTTAGGATGTCCAATGAAACATGAAGGATAATCGAGACTCTGGCCGGAAACGTAAGTTTTCTTAAGCATCGCCTGGGGTGTATGCGGAAAAAGATTGGCACGATGCCGAACAACCGGCGTTGTCCAATCCCGACAGCGGCAGGCGGCCTTCTGCCTCGAGCGGACCGCGTCCGCGACGACACCGACAGCGAGTCCTGTTCGCAACGGACACGAGCTGCCGTCGGTCGTTGTACAGTCGACCCGTAGCACAAGGGCGCACGACTAGGATGCCAGGGCCTTGGCAGGCCATTTCGAAGCTCTCCGAGCGGTGCGCGGCCAACGAAGGTGGCCCAGGATGGACCGAGGAGGCAAGGATGCAAGGGGGTACCCTTGGGAAGGTTGCCCGTGCTTACTGTGCGGGCTGACTGTACCCATTCTTTTCGTTCCCATGTCGATCGTCCCAATCCTCCTCCTCCTCCTCCTCCTCCTCCTCCTCCTCCTCCTCCTCCTCCTCCTCCCTCCTCCTCCTCCTCCTCCTCCTCCTCCTCCTCCTCCTCCCCCCCCTCCTCCCCCTCCCCCCCTCCGGCGAGCCGAGCGCCCTCGCCACAGCCGCGGCTGGACCGGCCACTGCGAGCCCGCGCTCACTTCCAGCGGCTGGGCTCGCCCCCCTCCCGCCACGCAGGGAGCGGGGCGCGCGGCAGCCGCGAGCCCCGCGCCGCGAGCCCGGCGCCCCGCAGGCGGGCAGGCGCGAGGGGGAGCGCGGCGGCCCAGGCTGCCGCCCTGCATCGGAGGAAGGAAACCGGGGGCGCGCGAACATGGATTGGCGATCCATGGATGTGGCCCGCGGGCGCCACATCCATGGATCGGGGGAGGTGCCCTCCTCCCCAGAGCGCGCGGCCGGTGCCGCCCCGCTCGGCGGCGGGAAGAGCCGCGATCTCCCATGGAAGCGGGGCCCGCGCCCCCGTGGTCCATGTTCGCGATCGCCTGACTGAGTCAATCCCCTTGTCGAGGCCCCCGAGGAGGAGGAGGAGGAGGAGGAGGAGGAGGAGGAGGAGAGGAGGAGAGGAGGAGGAGGAGGGAGGAGGAGGAGGAGGAGGAGGGGGGGAGGAGGAGGAAGAAGAGGAGGGGAGAGGAGGAGGAGTAGAGGAGGGAGGAGGAGGGAGGGAGGAGGAGGGAGGAGGAGGAGGAAGGAGGAGGAGGAGGAAGAGGAGGAGGAGGAGGAGGAGGAGGAGGAGAGGAGGAGGAGGAGGAGGAGGACGAGGAGGAGGAAAGCGCGCACTGGCCGGGATATCCCCCCCGTCGTCGAGGCAGCTGGTGGGCATCGCGGCCCCTGGCCGCGCCCTCGCCGAGCCTGTACTCCCGCCCAGGGGGCTGACCAGAGCAACAAAGCCCCAGCCACCGGGGGCTTTCGACTCTCCGCGCGGGCGAACGGCAGCTCCAGCGGGCGGCGGGGCGGAGGAGGGCCAGAGGCGCAGAAGCAGCAGCGCGACGACGACGACGACGACGACGACGCCGACGCCGCCGCCGACGACGACGACGGCGACGGCGACGGCGACGGCGACGGCGACGGCGACGGCGACAACGACGGTGACGGCGACAGCCACGGCGACAACGACGGCGACGGCAACGGCGACGACGAAAGCGACTGCTACGGCGAGGAAGAGAAGACGAACGGGACAGCGACGACGGCGGCGCGAACGGCAGCGGCGGCGACAGCGGCGGCGACAGCGGTGGCGGCCGCGACGGCGAGGAGAAGGACGACAAGGACGACGACGACGACGACGACGACGACATGCGCGGGCGCCCGCGGCCGCTCGCAAAGGCCAGGTCCATCAGGCCCGTGGAGCCTCCGACCTGGTGGGCAGCCCGCGGGCAGGTCATGACGACGACGACGACGAAGACGACGACGACGACGACGACGACGACGACGATGAAAACGATGGAGACAACGACGACGACGACGACGACGACAACGACGACGAAAACGACGACGGCGACGACGACGACGACGACGACGACGACGACGACGACGACGACAACGACGACGACGGCGGCGGCGGCGGCGGCGGCGGCGGTAGTGGGCGGCGTCGAGTAGGAGAACGGCGCCGCCGACGACGACGACGACGACGACGACGACGACAATGACAAAGACGACGAAGGCGACGAGGACAACGACGACAATGACGACGACGACGACGACGACGACGACGACGAAAACGACGAGGACGAGGACGACGACTACGACGACGACCACGACGACGACCACGACGACGACCACGACGACGACGAGGACGACGACGACGACAACAAGGACGACGACGACGACGAGGACGAGGACGACGACGACGACGGCGACCACGATGCGCCGACGCCGACGCTGACGCTGACGCCGGCGCCGACGCCGGCGCCGACGACGACGACGACGACGACGACGATGAAGACGACCTTCTTCTCCTTCACCTGCCGCGGCGCCACTCCAGAGCTGGCGCTGGGTGCCGCGGAGTCGCCGAAGGCCGCGGCACGGCCCTGCACCCCAGGCTGGTGGCCTAGCCCGAACTTCCTGCGCTTCGGACTGCAGTCGCCGTCGTCGTCGTCGTCGTCGTCGTCGTCGTCGTCGTCATTGTCATCGGCGTCGTCGGCGTCGCCGCCCTGTTGCTCCTGCTCCTCTTACCCTCCTCCGCCCCGCAGCCCGCCTAAGCTGATGCGCATGCACGTATAGTAGAAAGCCCCGCCCGCCGCGGACTGCGGGAGCAGTCGTCGTCGTCGTCGTCGTCGTCGTCGTCGTCGTCGTCGTCCTCCTCCTCCTCCTCCTCCTCCTCCTCCTCCTCCTCCTCCTCGTCGTCGTCGTCGTCGTCGTCGTCGTCGTCGTCGTCGTCGTCGTCGTCGTCGTCGTCGTCGTCGTCGTCGTCGTCGTCTACGTCGTCGTCGTCGTCGTCGTGGTCGTCGTCGTCGTCGCCGCCGCCGCCGTCGCCGTTGGAGGGAGATACGGAGGACGAGGAGCAGAAGGACGAGGGGAGGAGGAGGTCGGCGTGCCCTACGAAAGGATGAAAAGGACGAGGGGAGAAGCCCACGTGCATCAGCAAGCCCTGCAGTCAGCACGCGTCTGCACGCCGAGGCGGTGCAGAGCGGCGCGGCGCATCCGGCGGCACATTTCGTACTCGGTCACGCTGGGGCCGCGGCTGCTGCAGCCGTAGGAAGCCTCCAGCTCGAAGATAATGTTGCTGTATCAACACGGTCCAGCAGACTGTATGGTGGTAGTCGTTCTCGCGGTTCTCTTCGTATTCGGCTCCGAGGCCCAGCCGGTGGAGCGGACCAGGGCACAGGCAGCCCCGAAGATTACCCGCCCAATGCCAGACGTGGCAGCATCGCAGATAGTGGTCGATCTCGTCGCGTCCCTCCTCGCACCGCCCGAGGCACTGGTATTAGATGGTGACAATGTGCATCCGAGCGCTCGTATGATCCACCGCCACGCTGGCGGGACCAGGAGGTGTTCCTGCAGCTTCCTCCACCGCGCCTTCGGGTGTGCAGGGACGTGGCCCCTCGATAACCAGGCATCGACGAGCCAGCTCGCGGTGGGGCTGTCCTGGCCCTGAGGGGCCTTTCACCGCATGAGCAGTCCAGCGAGCAGCCGGGCGAACGTCCTGCGCACAGGCATCCACCAGTGGACCCCCTTGAGCACACCCTCTCACGCAGCCCCCCGCAAGGGACGGGCCCCGAGGGAGCGGGAGGAGTGGCGGACGGCCCAGGCGGAGCAGGACAGGAGGAGGAGGAGGAGGAGCAGGACATGAGGAGGAGGAGGCGGGGGAGGAGGAGGAGGAGGAGGAGGAGGAGGAGGAGGAGGAGGAGGCGGGGGAGGAGGAGGAGGAGGAGGAGGAGGAGAGGAGGAGGAGGAGGAAGAGGCGGGGGAGGCGCCTCCTCCCCCCCTCCTCCTGCAGATGCCTCCGCCCCCGCCCCCCGCGTCCAGCACCGCCCTCCCCCCCATACGACGAGGACACCGGGGAGCCTGTGGGAGGGGGCCTGCGGAGGCCTCCGGAGGCGGGCTCCCCGCGGGCCCCCCGTGACCCCCCTCGGGGCCCCCGGAGGCCCACAGGAAGCCCCCCCCAAACATAACAAAAAAAAAAAAACAAAAAAAACGCCGCCCTCGATCCTCGAGACTCGAGGCCTCGGCCCGCGAGCCTCGATCCTCGCTCCTCGAGGCCTCGACCCTCGAGGCCTCGACCGTCGATCGTCGAGGCCTCGACCGCCGATCGTCGATCGTCGATCGACGACGACGACGACGACGACGACGACGACGACGACGACGACGACGACGACGACGACGACGCAGCGACGGCGGCGACGGCGGCGGCGACGGCGGCGGCGGCGGCCGCGGCACGGGCGTGTCCTGAGAGGCATGCCCTTGAACCGCTCGGGCGTGAAGTTCTGCGTGGCGGCCCCGCGCTGCCCGCGCCTGTCCTCGCATGGGGGCCGTGAGGAGGGGAACCTCCTTAGCCTCCTCCTCCTCCTCCTCCACATCATCATCAGCACCGTCATCATCATAGCAGCAGAAGCTGTCATCATCATCATCATCATCGTCATCATCAGCATCATCATCATCATCATCATCATCATCATCATCATCATCATCATCATCAGCAACATCAGCAACAGCATCATCACCCATCATCAGCACCGTCGTCATCATCATCAGAATCAGCATCATCATCATCATCTCATCAGCATCATCATCATCATAATCCTCATCATTGCCACCATCATAATCATTATCGTCGTCATGGTCATCATCGTCATCGTCATCATCGTCATCGCCATCGTTATCATCATGAACAACCACACCATGAGCACCATCGTCGGCGTCATCATCAACATCATCATCATCGTCATCATCAGTAGCAGCAGCATCGTCCTCCTCCTCCTCCTCCTCATTATCATCATCAACCACCTCGCCGTCCCCATCACAATCACAACACACTGGTCATTAGAAATGCCATCAGCACTATCGAAACAATCACAATGATCATCACCATTGTTATCATATCATCATCATCATCATCATCATCATCATCATCATCATCAGCAGCAGCAGCAGCAGCATCATCACCATCATCATCGTCATCGTCATCGTCATCGTCATCACCATCGTAACCATCGCAATCCTCAGCATCATCAGCATCACCACCATCGCCCTGACGATCAGCAACACCACCATCGTTATCATAATACACATAGGCGTCAACATCAGCATCAACATCAACATCAACATCTGCAGCATCATCATAATCATCATCAGAACCGTCATCACCACCCGCATCACCATCATGTTCATTCACAGCAGAATCGTCAACACCATCATCATCAGCAGCATCAGCATCATCACCATCATCATCAGCATAGTCATAATCATCATCAGCTGCATCAGCATCAGCATCCTCATCATGATTATCACCATAAGCACCATCATGTTCATGAGCAGCATCATCCTCATCATCACCACCAGCGCCACAACCATCATCAGTATCATCAGCATCAGAATCATCATCAGCATAATCATCATCGTCAGCATCATCATCATCATCATCATCATCATCATCATCATCATCATGTTCGGCAGCATCACCACCACCATCATCAACATCATCGCCGTCACCATCAGCATCATCACTTCCAACACCATCAGCAGCAGCATCAGCATCACCGCGGTAAGCAACATCATCATCAACATCAGCGTCATCATCATCAGCAGCATTACCATCATCCTCATCATCATCCTCATCATCATAGTCATAATGATCAGAATCAGCATCAGTATCACCGCCATCAACATCGCCATAACATCATCATCACTATCATCATCATCATCATCATCATCATCATCACCATCACCATCATCATCATCATCATCATCATCATCATCATCATCGTCATCATTATTGTCATCGACATCATCATCATAAGCAGCAGCAGCAGCATCATCATCATCATCATGAGCAGCATCAGCATCGTAACAGTGACCGCCGTCATCACCAGCAACAGCAAAAGCAGCAACGAAATCCCCCTCCTCTTCCTTTTCATCCTCCTCCTGCTCCTCCTCCTCCTACTCCTCCTTCTCCTCCTCCTCCTCCTCCTCTTCCTTCTCCTCCTCCTCCTCCTCCTTCTCCTCCTCCTCCTCCTCCTCCTCCTCCTCCCCTGGGAGCCCCCTGGAATCCCCCCCCCCAGACCCCCTCACCCCACCCGCCCCGAACGACCCCCAAACCCTCGACGAGCTGCGACAGCCCTCCCCCTCCTGTGATGCATGATGATGCTGCTGTTCGCTGCTCGCGCGTGATGGCGAGGAGACGGGAGACCGAGGAGCCGCACCCGTTGGCCACGAGCTCACGCGTCCTCATGTCTGCCCCAAGACACGCGAGGTCTGTGCCCTGCCCGCCCGGCGCCCTGCAAGGCCCGCTCTGCGAGCTTTCGGCGGCCGCGCCGCCTCGCCAGCCTGAGCACAGCCAGGCCCGAAGCGCGGCCCTCCCCTCGGGCCAACACGCGCGCGCAAGGGCACCGCAGCGGCTGGCAGCGCCACTCCACTTCAACTTCGCGAGGCTGGCGCAGACAACGCGAGATCTCCCCCTCGTTATTCCCCTTCTACATACTTCCCCTCCTCCCCCTCCTCCTCCTCCTCCTCCTCCTCCTCCTCCTCCTCCTCCTCCTCCTCCTTCTAAAGATGGTCAATGTCTGATGTGATGATACGAAACGGTGTTCGTTCGTGTAGGTGCCGTCACAAAGAGCACATGTGTTTTGGTGGATCTATTGCCCGTGTGGTGGGAAACGCGTGGGCTGATTTCTTTGCATATTGTGGGGCATGCGGTGTCAAGGTGGCGGACACTCTGGCCAACAATGGCAAAGGCCTGCAAAAGCACGGGAAAAAATCACCAGGCTCCTCGGCTGCATGGCGTCCAGGGCGGTCAGACTCCACGATCGGGTCGGAGAGCACGACGTTGTTAAAAGGAATACGGCCGCGGCTCCCAAGTTGTCTCTTACTCAACATGAACTGATATCTGTGAATGATGAGCTTCTGCGTTGCATCCATTGCCTTAGATAAGACACCACGGCTGTTAGTTATGAGCGTAGCTAAGTCTCCTCTGTGGTGGTGGTGGCACAAAAGAGAGTCGCATGACCAGCGGTAGGGGGCTTGAGCACGCTTCACCCTCCACCCGGAAATCGGCGTCGTGTTTCCCTGCCCTCCAAGGCCTCCTTACCCCCCACAAGATGTCCTAGGGGTAAGACCCAAAGGCGATCATGATGATTATGATGATGATGTTGATGTTGATGTTGATGATGATGATGATGATGATGATGATGATGATGATGATGATGATGATGATGATGATGATCATGATGATGATGTTCCTTGGCTTCACTGTCCGTCCTCTCCCGGGCGGAGAGGGCAGGCACGCCTCCCTCCAGCCCACCTGAGGAGGCTCGTTCAAGTCAGGTCTGCCCCGCAGGTTCCGGGCGAGCCTGGCGGGCAGCTCCCAGCCTCGAGTGCCTGATCGGCAGCACCCCACCCAATGGAAAGCCACGAATACATTCAGGTCGGGCCTGTCCCCCTACAGGGGCATCTTGTGCGACAAATCAAAAATACCCAAAAAGACCCCCACATGGTCAACAAAAAACTCAAGAAATCGTCCCCTGACTATTTTTTTACCTATTTTGGAATACTCCTCCTTTAGAGGGACAGGTCCGACTTAAGACTACATCGAAGATTCATCGAATGACGCCCGCGGGAACACGTCCGTGTCCTCGCCCCCCTCGGAGCTACGTGGGTCTCTGGGACTGGTAGATAAATCGTGGCTCTGGGAGGTCGCCGTGGCCGAACTTCGCTACAAGTCACACCTCCGCCACTCTTTCACAATAACTACATGGTGCTCTGTGGCCACGTCGTAACTATGTGTGACTGTGTCAGCCGTTTGCGCCGCAAGCCATGGGCGCGCCATGGATGGTTAGCATGAATGTGTGGCATGTCCGGCGACCTGCATGTAGATCAGGCCTGCGATCGGTGCGCACAAGTCGCGTGGCTGTTCTCATTTCCGCAGCAGGCCACGGCCACGCAAATCTCTTTGCAGCACATGACTGCGAGCTGCCTGGCCTGGCAATGGCCCCAACGGTCGCGCTGGCTACGTGGCGCCCTCGGGCGGCGGCGACGTCTGGTCCGCAGCAGGCTCTGGAACCAGCGCCATGGTGGCCGCAGGCCGCGGTCGGGTCGTCGGCGTGAGGCGCTGGGCCTCGACAAACTCGCAAGCCCGCCTAGGCCAGACCGACTGCAGCTGCACACCATGTCCCGGTCGTCGCGGGTCAGCATTCCAAGCTACCCCTTCGAATACACCATGGCCTGACGACACAAGCGGCACATCCTGGACGCGATTGGGAATACATTGGAGTTGCTCGGGCCGTTTTGGGCTTCATTGGCATACTCCGGCAGCCCTGTGCTAATCTTCGCTTGCGGAACTAATCTTTCCGGAAACGAACTGCTCTTGAGCCGGGTGGACGATGTGCGAATACAGCTTCGATTCGGCAGAGCTCAACCCAGATCCAGTTTTCGGGCCATGTGGCCTTATTCGGCAAGCCCGAATCCGCACAACTTCTGCACGCTCTTGCCTCCGGCGGCACCCGCCGACCCTCCGCGGACTTCCGCCGGCGGAGCCGCCCGCGCTCCGCTTCCGGTGGCGTCCGCCGGCCTCGCGCCGAAGGTGAGAAGCCAGGTCTCGATCCCCCGCAGGAGAGCCAACCTCGGCCCCTCCATGGCGCGGCTCCCTCCAGCGGGCGCCTGCGCGTGGCCCATGTAGGCGACAGGCACCGGGGGGGGCCACGGTGGCCGTGAAGTGCTCGCCGCGGGCCGCGGAGTCGCCGTCGCGCCCGAGCAGAGCCGTGGCAATTACCGAACGCGGCCCCTGCGCGTAGCGCAGGTCGGCTGTCGCTTCGTTCCGCCACCCGGACGCCGCTTTCGCTCCTAGACCGTCGCCTGGGAGCCGCCGACCAAAAAATAGCGCAGGTCGGCGACCAGCTCGGGGTCGTCGTGCAGACTGTCGGGGTTCATGTCGCAAGCTGCGGAGCTGCCTCCGCCAACCTGCGCGCAGCTCGGGTCAAGCCAACGTGTCTTGAGCCAAGACCGTGTTTGTGCGATTGCTCGGCTTGCTTGGGCCAGGAGGATAACGGCCGCTTGCATCTCGCTCCCGCCGCGCGTTTCCTGCCCCCCTGTTCGGGTCAACTCCTGCCCCCTCGCGGCCGCTGGGGACAACGACGACGACGACGACGACAACAACGACGACGACAGTGCCGCGGGCATCATCGCCATCTCGGCTGCGTTGCGTGGCACTGTGCCCTGGACGGCTCTCGAGAGGCTCGGCCTGTTGAGACGGGTCCCAACCCCGTGACGAGACTGCATTTCTCCTGCAGTCGAAACGCCGTCACAAGGAGCCCTAAACAAGGAACGAGGCCCCTCTTTTCCATTGGTTGAAAAACGATGTCCCATAGAATGCCTGCAGAAACCTGAGACAAGCTTCAAAAAAGTGAAGAAGCGCTGAGACCCTCTCCAACGAAAAGGGTTCCTTCTCAAGCGGCCCGACTGCAATCTCTCCTAGGCCATGTCCCCCAAGCCTGGCAGGAACACACATCTGTTTGGCCTCCCGTGCCAGGGCCCCCCAGAGCTCGGCCGTTGGCACAAGTGGGCTCGTTGGGGCCCTGCTGGGATCTGTGAGCTGTGCGGGCACCGTGGCCCTCACAGAGGCAAGCACGTCAGGAGGCCGAGGGAGGCCTGCACGGGGCCGCCCGCCAGGAGCTCGGAGCAGGACGCGAGCCCGAGAGCGGGCGGCCCATCCCTCCCTGATCCTCTGGGGCCCGGCGAGGTCGGCGACGTGCTCGTGTGCCGCGTCGTCGGACGGGCTGGGGCGGCTCCACCTCGCTCTTCCTCCTGCTCCTCCTCCTCCTCCTCCTCCTCCTCCTCCTCCTCCTCCTCCTACTCCTCCTCCTCCTCCTCCTCCTCCTCCTCCTCCTCCTCCTCCACGCGCGGGCCGGCTTGGGCCCCAGGCGAACGCCTCGCCGCCCCCGGGTCGTCTGGCTGGGTCTCGGAGGTGAGGCGCCCCGCTTCGGTGCTCCGTAGGGCCATATGGTGGGCCCGGTGCCTCGTGGCGCCCTTCGCTGATGCGGTCCCATCCCGTTCCCATGGGACTCGGTTGGGGCTCCCGTTCTGGACATCACCTCCTCATCCATCTCCTGCTCCTCCTCCTCCTCCTCCTCCTCCTCCTCCTCCTCCTCCTCCTCCTCCTCCTCCTCCTCTTCCTCCTCGTCATTATCATCCTTATCCTTATCCTCATCCTGCTGCTCCTACGATTAGTGGGCCTCTGATCCCCGAAGTTCCTCCTCCTCCTCCTCGGCGACTACGAAGACGACAACAACGGCGACGATGACGACGGAGACGACGACGACGACGACGACGATGACGACGACGACGACGACGACGACGACGACGACGACGACGATGACGACGCGACGATCCTGTTCTCGCATGGCGTCCAGGAACACCGAGTGAGCGGTCTCCTCCCTGCCTGTGCACGAGTCCAGCACCTCTTACTGCCGTCGTCGTGTTCGTCGCCCTGTCGTCGTCGTCGTCGTCGTCAGCGCCGTCAGCGTCGTCGTCATCGCCGTCAGCGCCGTCAGCGTCGTCGGCATCGTTAGCGCCGTCAGCGTCGTCAGCATCGTCAGCGTCGTCAACACGATCAGCGCCGTCAGCATCGTCATCGCCTTCAGCGTCGTCAGCGTGGTCAGCGCCGTCAGCGTCGTCAGCGTCGTCAGCGCTGTCAGCGTCGTCAATCATCATCGTCGCCGTCGTCGTGGTCGTCGTCGTCGCCTTTGACGTTGGGTTGGGGAAGGACGACGCTAAGATTGGGACGGAGGAGGCGGAGGAGAATGAAGGGGAGGTGGAGAGGAAGGGTAGCGGGAGCGGGAGACCCACGACGTCCCCGAGAGGCTCCCCGGAGGGGCAAAATGGCCCCCAGACCAGGCAAGAGGGCCCCGAGACGGCCCAAGGAGCAGGGCCCCAAGACGACCGAGGCCCCAAGACGACCCAAAGGAGCCCCCTACGAGAGCGTTCCCCCCGAGGCGCGGAGACGAGAGAGGGGGTCTCGCGTGAGAGGTCGCCCCACGGAGAGCGCTTCGCTGCCACGGTGCCGCGGGCACGGCGCGGAGGCGGGCGGGGGGAGCCCTGTGCCGCACCGCTCGTTGCATGGCACAGCGCGGGGGGCGGAAGCCATCACAGCCTAGTTCTGCACGCCGGTTGCACGGCGGCGGAAAGGGGCGGGGGTGAGAGACAGCTTCGCCGTGCCCGTCGCGCGGCAGCGCGAGGCGGCGAGGAGGCGCAAGGCTGTGCTGCTCTGCTCGTCTCGTCTCGCCGCATCCAGGTTGAACTCCCCAGCCCGAAGCCCACTAGCAAGCACACACACACACACGCACGCACACACACACACACATGCACACACACACACACGACACGCACACACGCACACATACACACACACACACACGACACGCACACACGCACACAAGCACACACACACACACACACACGCATACAGACACACACACACACACACACGCACATACACACACACACACACACACACACACACACACACACACACACACACGCACACACACACGCAAAAAACACTTCATGTTATCCACCTTCCCGCCGCATTCCAGCCCCATGGCTGTTCCGCTTCGCGACGACGACGTCATTATCCTGTTCCTCGTCCTGTTCCCCCTCTGCCTCATTATTACCCCATCCAACTCCACGTTGCCCCGACCCTAACCCTAAAACACGAGCCCTGTTCCTGAAGTCCTGACCCCGAGACTCATGCGCGAACCCTACAATCCAAACCTTACAACCGAAACATTAATACAAACTGCGCGTTCCTTGTGTTTTTGCATTTTCCCTACTCCGCCGTTTTCGCCGTCGACGATGAGAGCGACTACGACGACGACGCTGGCGACGACGATTCACAAGGCGACGAGGGCGATGACACAAGGGGGTCAGAACAACTATGCTCTTCTACTCGGTTTGCCAGCGTGGATCCCAAATTATGTGTCTGTAGCAGTCCACGTCGTGCAACCTATGTGGAACCACATACGTGGTGCAATTCATGTGGTGCACGATACGCGGCGCAATCTACGTGACGCAACCTATCTGGCGCGATCCATATGGTGTCATCGACGCCATGCAACTCACCCTGCCGAAGTTGAAGCTATCAGCTCCAAGGCTCGCGCAAACATCCAACCCACCCGCCCACAACCTAGTTTGTAAAAACCATGCGGCGGCGATTGCGATGAGTGCTTGTCGCTGGCAGGTGCGTGGTCCGCGGCCGCGGTAGCCCGCGCATGCTCGCGCGCGCAGCGGCCAGCTACTCGGCCGCGGTGGCGCTGACCACTGGGCACTTCCAGCGGGCATTCCAGTGCGAGTCGGTGGCTTGGGCGGGCGCGGTATCATGGCGACGCCGACAACGGTAGACACGATTATGAGAGTAACGATGATGGTGACGATGGCGGCGATGACGACGGCAAGGCCAATGACGGCGCCGATGCTCATCACGCCCGCCGATACAGATGACGATGCCCTCGCGTCGGTGATGAAGGTGTTGGAAGAAGTTCGACATGCGCGCGGCCGACGCTCGCGAGTGGCCCGCGTGGCATTATCTGATACGGATCGCGCCTCCCACCACGCGCGCAAGGGCGTTCGGATGAGTCCGGCATGCGGCGCGAGAGGCCCGCCTGGCAGAATGCGATGGCAAAACAATTTGTGGTCGTCGCAAGACTCCGCAAGACCGCGAGCGAAGGCTTCTCTGGAAAACTGATGGTGACAAACTGCTGGTTATTCTATGTTCTCGGGACACTCGTTTTTGAAATCCCTACGACACCTGAGGTGTTCGAAAATTTCCTGCACGCGCGCGCGACGACGCGCGCGAGCACTTCGCCCCGTCTGTTGCAATGGGTTCTAGCGACAACACGCGCGCAAGGGCGTTCGAACGATGTCGATATGCGCACGCCAGAGGCCCGTTTGGTAGCATGTTTTAAAAATCGGAAGGACCTCTGGATCCTTAATGAGTTTGCAAGAGCGCGAGCGCAGGCTGTGTTGAAAACCTCCGGTGGGACACCACGTGCTTCAAACTTGTTTTCGTGACACTCGTTTTTGACATCCTTATGACACCTAAAGTGTTTGAAAATGTCTGGCGCGCGCGACGGCGCGCGCGCGCGTCGTCCCATTTGTCGCAAAGGATTCCAGCGACAGCCCGCGCGCAAGGGCGCACGAATGATGATGCGCACGCCAGAGACCCGTTTGGTAGCATGCAATGATAATGTGGGAGGACCCCTGGATTCTTAAGAGTTCGCAGGAGCGCGACCTGATGCTGTTTTGAACACCCTCGTTGGAAGACCATGTGTTGTTATATGTATTCGCGGCCCTCGATTTGGAAATCCTTGCGAAACAAAAAAATGTTTAAAGAATTTCGGCACGCGCGGGAGACGACGCGCGCGTGCGCTTTCGTCCTTCTTGTCGCAAGGAATTCTTGTAAACTTATGATGGTTTATGTACGAATGCGCGCGCTTGGCTTTTTCTTTCACAAGGAAGGGCTGGAGGGGGGGCAGACCGATGGCCCAGAGCGGTATGAAGTTAGATTTGGGATGGACGGTGGGCCTGAAGCATGCGTTAATTGCAACGCGGAAAGCCGTGCCCATAAGACCGGACGGGGGGGGGGGGGGGGGGGGGGTGGGGGGGGGGGGGGGGGGGGGGGGGGCGAGAGTCGATCTTCTTTAGAACGGCGTAAACATACATACATCTATATATACATATATACCGCGCAATTTATGTTGCCCAATCTGCGCGGTACAACTTGGGCGATCTCAATGGAGCTATCTACGCGGGACACCTGGTGTGATGCAATATATGTGTCGCAAGCTACGCGGCGCAATCTACGTGGTGCGATTCAACGTTTAACATGAAAGTGTCAACTCCTAGGCTCGCGCAAACATCCAACCTGGTCTGCAAGACACACGCGGCGGCGATTGCGATGAGTGCTTGGCATTGGCTGGTACATTTGCGCGGCCGCGCTAGCCCGCGCACGCTCGCGCGCGCAGCGTCCAGCTAGTTTGGCGCGACCGGCGCGGCCGCGGTGGCGCTGACCGCTGGGCACTTCCCAGCGGGCACTCCAACGCGAGTCGGTGACTTGGGCGCGCGCTGCACCCTGGCGACGCAGACATCAGTGGACACGATATGGAGTAGCGAATGAAGGTGGCGACGGCGGCGATGGCGACGGCGAGGCCAACGACGGCGCCGACGCTGATCACGCCCGCCGATTACGACGACAATTTCCCCGCGTCAGCGATGGAAGTTTCTGTGGGAGTTCGACGCGCGCGCGCGCGGCCGACGCGCGCGAGTGGCCCGCGCGGCGCCATTTGACACGGACCGCGCCCCCCCCCCGCCCCCCCCCCCCCCCGTCCCCCGCGCAAGGGCGCTCGAAAGAGTTCGACATGCGGCGCGAAAGGCCCGTCTGGCCGAATTTACTGAACACGCTGAAAGCCCATTGGTCGTTTTAATCCGCAAGTCCGCGAGCGCATGCTTATCTGAAAACTGACGTTGCCAAACCGTAGGATAAATTTGTTTTCGGGGCACCCGTTCTGCGCCATCCCGGCGACACCGAAAAGGGCGTTCGACGGATTTCGGCACGCGCGCGCGACGACGCTCGCGCGCGCAAGCCGCCCTGTTTTCTGCAGGGGATTTCCTCGACAGCACGCGCGCAGAGGCGTTCGTGCGTTTTCGACGTTGCGCGCGTCGGAGCCCCGTTTGGTAGCAAATTATGAAAATGTGGGGAGACCATTGGTTTCTTCAGAATTCGCAAGAGCTCGGGCAATGGAAAGCATGCGTTTTCATGCGTTCGGGACTCTCGATGTTGAAACCCGCTCGAGCCTGGATGTTTGAAAGATTCCGGCATGCGCGCGCAACGACGCGCACGCGCGTGCACTTCGCCCCATTCTTCGAAAGGGATTTTTGAAAGCTGCTGATTTGGGATAAACGAATGTGCGCGCATAAGATCTGCGGCAAAGGACGAGGGGGGGACCGATGCTGGCCTGGCTGGGATGACATAAATTCATATTCGGATGGACGACGGGACAGAATCGCATCAAAATGGGGGGGGGGGGGGGGCTAGATCCCAATGCTGTCGTAGAAAGGAGAATCTACGCTGTGCAATTTACGCGGCGCAACGCACGCGGCGCGATTAATATTGCGCAGCCCGCCTGGCACAACCCACGCGGCGAAGCATGCGCGGCGCAATCTACGAGGCGCTATTGAATATTTCAAGCGAGTTGACAAATCGCATGTTTTGCAATTTGGTCTACAAAACCCACGCGGCGGCGATTGCGATGAGCGCCTGGCGTTGGCTGGCGTATCTCCGCGGCCGCGCTGGCCCGCGCATGCTCGACCAGCTAGTTGGGCGCGATCGACGCGGCCGCGGCGGCGCTGACCGCCGGGCACCCCCCGACGGCGACCGCCGACCGCTGACCGCTGGCCGCGCTGACCGCCGACGGCGACGACGTTGATTACGCCCGCCGCCAACGATGACGATGTCCTCGCGTCAACGATGGAGGTTTTTGATGGAGTTCGACAGGCCCGCGCGCGGCCGACGCGCGCGAGCGGCCCGCATGGCATCATTTGACACCGATCGCGCCCCCCCCTCCTCCCCGCGCGCGCGCAAGGACGATCGAATGAGCTCGACACGCGGCGCGAAAGGCCGGGTTGGCAGAATTTGGTCAAAACGTTGGGATGGGAAGCCGACGGCTCTCTCAAGAACCCGCGGGAGCGCGAGCGTCGGACTTGATTGGAAACCGTTGTTGCAAAACCATGTGGGAACACATGTTTGCGGGGCACTCGACGTCGAAATCTTTGCGGGCGCGGGGGCAATTCAAAAGTTCCGGCACGCGCGGGCGACGACGCGCGCGCAGTTAGCCCCGTTGCTTGTTCACGGGATTCCCGCGAAAGCACGCGCGCACGGGCGCTCGAGCGATTCCGACACGCGCACGCGCGAGGCCCGTTTAGTAGCAAGTTGTGAAAGTGTCTAAAGACCGATGGTTTTAATTAGAACTTGCAAGAGCACGAGCGCAAAAAATTGCGTCGGAAGCCCGCGCTGCGAAAACGTGTGCTTTAATATGGGTTTGCGGCATTTGCCTTGAAGTCCTGGCGGACCAAAGAATTTGCATGGGATTTCGGCACGCGCCCGCGACGCCGCGCGCGCGTGCACTTTGTCTCATTCTTCGCAAGGGACTTAAAAAAACTGCTGATTCGGGATAATCGAATGCGCGCACAATATTGTTTTGCGTAGGACGTGGGGGGGGGGGGGGACCGATGCCAGCCTGCCCAGGGCGATACGCATTCAGCTTCGAACGCGAAAGATACCCGCGCCCTTGCCCAGGCGGGGTGGCAATGGGCGGGGGGGCGACGCGCCGCAGCCGACGGCGGTTGCACAAGTGCAGATGCGACGGCCCATGGAACATTACAGGGCGCTGTCTTCTCCGGGCATCCGCCGGCACCGAATGCGCGCGCGTCCCATTCGGCAGAAGGGCCGACTGCGCACTGGTCGCTCTCGGGCTAGCGTAGATAGTCCGGAGGCGCGCCCGCGAAGGCGCACAATCAAGCGTTTGGGGCTCGACGCGCAAAATGCGCCCAGGGTGTCCTGGGCGGGCGCCGCTGCAATCCCGCGCTCGCCCGAAACGCCCGGGGCCCCGAAAGCCAGGCGCGGGCGCCAAGGGCTGCCCCCTGGAAAACCGCCCGGCGTCGCCCCAGCTAGGTCCGGGCACGCGTCGGGGGGGCGCAGTCGCCGACGCGCGTTGATGGTGCCCGCGGACGCGCACCAGTACCTAGTCGAGGCGCCGTTTTGTCGAAATCGCTCTCGGGCGCGCGCGCGGCCCGCGACAGCGCCCCCGAACGCGGCCGCGGCGGCCCCCGGAGGGGGCGCGACATTGCAACGACGCTCCTGCGGGCAGGTCCAAACGCAACGGAGCGGCGGTGCCTGTCCCCAAATGGGACAGGCACCACCACTCCAATGCCGTTCTAGACCGCGCGGACACCCCCGATGCCCCCAACCATCCCTCACGAAAAAAATCAGGACATGTCGCTGCAGTCCAACAACCAGCCGTTCAGCGCGTCGTTGCGCCCTGGCGCGCGGATGCTGAAACAGCGCGCACGCGGCAGGCTGATCGGGCGCAGCTGCAAGCGCCCACTCCAGCGGGCGGCCCTCTTCACCCAGGCCAACCCCAGGCAAGGGCGCGTTTAGGACCAACAAGTTCATAGCTAGGATGGGCGACGGGGCAGAATCACATGCAAATTGCAATACGAAAGGTTGACCTGTAATCCCAGGGGGGAATTCGATCCCAAAAATTCTGATCGCAGCAAATTGTCCACTCCACTGCTCGCGCAACCATCCAACCCACCCGTCCACAACTGAGTTTGTTAAACGGCGCGATTGCGATGAGTGCTTGGAGTTGGCTGGTGCATTTCTGCGGCCGCGCTAGCCCGCGGATGGTCGGGCACGCAGCGGCCAGCTAGTTTGGCGCGACCGACGCGGCCGCGGTGGCGCTGACCACTGGGCGCTCCCCAGCGGGCACTTCAGTGCGAGCCGGCGACTTGGATGGGAGCGGTATCATGGCAACGTCGAAAATGGCAGACGCGATGACGATGGTAACAATACTGGTGACGACGATAATGACAACGACGACGGCACAGCCGGCGACGGCGCCGATGCTGATCACACCGGACGACGATGAAGGCGCCCTCGCGTCGGTAATGAAGGTCTTGTAGGGAGTACGACATGCGCGCGCGGCCGACGCGCGCGAGTGGCCCGCATGGTATCATTTGACATGGATCGCCCCCCCCCCCCCCAGCACGCGCGCAAGGGCGCTCGAAAGATTGCGCCGTGCGGCGCGAGTGGGCCCGTTTGGCAAAATTCAATGAGGTTGAAATGCCGAAGATTGCCTTTAAAACCCGCAAAAGCGTTAGCGAAAACATGTTTGGAAACCGATGTTGCAAAACCATGCGTGCGTTTCGGGACACTCGATTTTTGACACCCCAGGCTTCTGACGGATTTCCGCACGCGCGCGTGACGACGCGTTCGTGTGCACTTCGTCCATTTGTTGCAAGGGATTATTGCGACAGCACGCGCGCTAGGGCGTTCGAACGATTTCGACATGCGCGCGCGAAGGGCCCGTTTGGTAGCAAGTTATAAGAATGTTGAAGAACCAATGGTTTTCTCAAGAACTCGCAAGAGGCCGAGCGCAAGCTTCGGGACAATCGGTTTGACCTCCTTGCGAAACCTAACGTGTTTGAAAGATTTCGGCATGCGCGCGCGACGACGCGCGAGCGCATGCGGTCCCATTTTTCACCAGGGACTCTGAAAATTGCTGGTTTGGGATAAACGAATGCGCGCGCATAGTACTTGTGGCAAAGGACGAAGGGGGAACCGGTACCAGCTTGCCTGGGATGGTACGATCAGAATGGGCAGAATCAGATGTAAGTGGAGTGATCCTAATATTTTTTTAGAAAGGAGAATCTACGCGTTGCAATTTTTGCGAAGCGGCGACGGGATGGCGACTGGGCGGCGACGGCGAACACGGAACCACAGAACGGCCCGCGGGCCCAGACGATGGGCGGCGACGAGGCGGCGACAGGGCGGCGACGGCGAGCACGGAACAACCAGACCAGCCTGCAGGCCCAGACGACGGGCGGAGACGAGGCGGCGGCGGGGCGGCGACGGCGAGCACGGAGCCGCTAGACCGGCTCGCATGCCCAGCTCCGTAGAAAAGAAAAAGGAACCCTAAGTGCAAGCACGATTCAAGGAAGACTGTTATACGAAATTCGTCACGTGATCACGCAAGGGAGCTTAACAACTGCCGTCATGCTCGAGTTGCCACGTGGCCGCGCAAACACCGTATATGAATCATGGTGGACGAAAAACAACGTCGCACTCGACTCGCCACGTGGCAACGCAGGCCGAACAAAATACGCTTCTATTCTGCGCGTCACGTGGCAGCGCAGGAGGCGGGGGGAGGGAAGCACAGAACCTTTTAAGTCTTCCCGTCACATGGAAACGCAAGAGGCGGGTCTTGCGCTTGCCACCAGAATACCTCCTTCCGCAAGCCCTGTGAAAGAGCCACATCGACAGGAGAGGGCGATTTAGCCAAGATCCGACGAGGTGTGTGGCCGAAGGCCTACAGTAAGGCTGAGAAGGCGAGACGGTCAGGTCCTCGGTCTAAGGCTCAATTCTCCTTCACTTAGTGAACAGTCATTTGCCTCCTTCTCCTCCTCCTCCTCCTCCTTCTCCTCCTCCTTCTCCTCCTCCTCTTCTTTCTCCTCCTCCTCCTCCTCCTCCTCCTCCTCATCCTCCTCCTCCTGCTGCTCTCTCCTCGCCGCATTTCCCACCACCGCACCCCTCCCCGCTACCTGATTTCCCGTATGCTCTTTCCCATCATTTCAATTTCCCGCTGAAGACTCCAACCGCGCTCAACTGTTCACCGTCCACCCACAAAAGGTCTCCACTTTCGCGCAAGTCTCTCTCGAGTGGTGGCCGATATGACTGCCCCCCTCAGTCAGGTGCAACAGGCATCACCGAAGAGCGGCGATCAAAACGGTAAGCCACCCGAGGCTTTGTATTCCGTCAGTATCATCATCCTCGCTTCCCTCCTCCCTCCACCTCCTCCTCCTCCTCCTCCGCCTCCTCCTCACAATCATCATACTCATCCTCACCCTCATCCTCATCTTTATCAACATCCTCCTCCTCCCTCCTCCTGCTGCTACCCCTCCTCCCGCTCACCAGCGCGCCTTGTTAACCTGGCGCCTCTCCGTGGGTGGAGTCGGCTTGAAGCTCTTGGCGGTGCGCGCCTAAACGCAGGAGGGAGCGGGCAGGCGTCATCATCCTCCTGACTATCCTTCTCTTCCTCCTCCGCCTCCTCCTCCTCCTCCTCCTCATCCTCCCCCTCCCCTTCCTCCTCAAAGTACTCCTCCTCCCCACTCCTCCTCCTCCTCTTCCTCCTCCTCCTCCTCCTCCACCATCCTCCTCCCCCTCCCCATGCTCCTCCTCCTCCTCCTCCTCCTCCTCCTCCTCCTCCTCCTCATCATCATCATCATCATCATCATCAGCAGCAGCATCAGCATCAGCAGCATCATCACCATCAGCAGCATCATCATGAGCAGCATCATCAGCATCACCATCATCATCATCATCATCATCAGCAGCATCATCATCAGCAGCATCATCAGCAGCAGCAGCATCGTCATCATCATCATCATCAGCAGCAGCATCACCAACATCAACATCGGCATCCGTACCTACATTTTCACCATAACCAGCATGAACACCATCCTCATCATCATCATCAGCATCGTCATCATCATCAGCAGCATCATCATCATCATCAGCATCATTATCAGCAGCACCATCGGTAGCAGCAGCATCATCACCACCATCATCATCATCGTCGTCACCAGTACCCACATCAGCAGCAGCATCACCAGCAGCAGCCTTATCAGCGGAAGCAGCGCCGTCGTCGCCATCATCAGCATCATCATCATCAGCCGCAGCATCAGAATAACAATACCGCAGCATCAACATCAGCAACATCACCATACAAATGTTAGTAGCCCGTTGTACTAAGACTGACAGTGAGAAAGATACAAATACTGACAATGCTACTACCGATAACCGTCATCATAATCATAATCCGAATCAGAACAGTCAACATTATCAACATCATCATCAGCGTCAGTGTCAGCAGCACCATCAGCATCAGCAGCATCGTCAACGTCATCAGCATCATCAGCATCAGCATCGTCATCGTCATCGTGATCTTCATCGCCATCGTCAGCATCGCCATCACCACACTCATCATCCTCCCCAGCATCATCGTCAGCATCGTCAGCATCATCAGAATCCTCAGCAGCATCACCATCGTCAGCATCAGCATCGTCATCAGCATCGTCATCGTCATCGGCATCGCCATCATCATCAACATCGGCATCCGTATCTACATGTTCACCATAACCATCATGATCACCATCCTCATCAGCATCATCATCATCAGCATCACCATCAGCATCATCATTATTAGCATCACCAGCATCATCGTCATCCTTACCACTGACATCGTCGTCGTCGCCACTATCACCGTCACCATCACGATCACCATCGTCACCATCAGCAGCCGCAACAGCCTCATAATCATCAGCATCAGCATCCTTATCACCACCATCACCAGCACCAATACCACAATCATCATTAGCAGCAGCATCCTTGCCAAGATCATCATCATCATCACCATACGGATCATACTCGTCGGCACTATCGCCATCGTCACTGACACAGTCAGTGTCGTCACTGTCAGCATCAGCATCAGCATCACCATCAGCATCATCATCATCATCATCAGCATCATCATCATCGTGGTCACCAGCATCAGCCTCATCAGCATCATCAGCATCACCACCATCATCAGCAACAACACCATCACCATCGTCAGCATCATCCTCATCATCAGCAGCATCATCATCTTCGTCACCATCATCCTAAGCAGCAGCTGCATCACCATCATCCGCATCGTTGCCGCCATCGTCGCCGCCGTCATCACCATCAGCACGGTCACCACCACCATGACCCCCTATCACCGTCATCGTCCGTATGATCATCGCTGCCGTCGGCCTTTGCCACCATCACCACCATCGTCACCAGCATCGTGGTTGCTGTCGTCGTCATCACCGCCGTTCATCAACACCACCATCACCACCACCATCATCCGCATCCGTGCCTGCGGCACGTTGGGGCGCCAATGCCCCCGCGGGGGGGGGGGGGAAGGGCGTCCATGGGCGGCCACGGCGCCTCCCTGAGGCTGGCCAGGGCTTCCGCGACGGCCCAGGACGCCCACCCACGCCGCCAAGAGGCCTCCAAGACAGCCCGAGATGGCTCCACGACGCCCGAGATGACCCCAAGACGGCCCAAGAGGCCACCAGAACGCCCCAAGGGGGGTCCAAGAGACCACCCAACGGGGCCCCAAGGGGCAAAAGTCACTCATGTTCCATAGGTGGTTGGAGGAATTTAGCGTTCCCGCCGTGTCTGTTCTCCGACGCTCCGAGACAGCCAGAGAGGTTCCCAAGGCCACCCCAAAACGGCCCAAGAGGCCCCAAGAGGCCCCCAGGAACCCCCGAGAGGCGCCCAATAGGCCTCAAGTGGCCCCCAAGAGGCACCCAAGAGGCTCCAAGAGGCCCCCCCACGAGGCCCGGAAGAGGCTCCGAGAGGCCCAGAAACTACCACCAAGAGGCATCAAAACAGCCCCCAAGAGGTCCTCGGGAGGCCTCTCGCGAGGTACCAACGAGCATTAAATAGGATTCACACCCACAACCCACAAGCACCGTGGCGGGACTTGCCGTAGGCAGCTTGTAATCATCATCAGCATCATCGTCAGCATCATCCTCATATTCATACGACTCTTCATCATCATCAGGATTATCATCAGCATCAGCGTCAGCGTCAGCAGCATCATCATCATCATCATCATCATCATCATCATCATCATCATCATCATCATCATCATCCACATCATAACCATCACCATCACCATCACCATCACCACCACCACCACCATCATCATCATCATCATCATCATCATCATCATCATCATCGTCATCATCATCATCATAATCATCATCATCGTCATCAGCATCATCAGTATCATCACCATCATCGTCCGCATCAGCATCATCATCATCAGCATCATCAGCATCATCATCGTCATCATCGTCATCCCCTCCTCTTCCTCCTCCTCCTCGTCGTCGTCACCACCATGATCAGCATCAGTATCATCATCACCACCACCACCATCATCATCAGTATCAGCATCAGCATGACCATGATCAGCATAATCATCAGCATCAGCATCATCATCAGCAGCAGAATCAGCATCATCATCATCATCATCATCAGAATCAGCATCATCATAATCAGCATAGCAGTAGCAGCAGATGCAGCAGCAACAGCAATATCAGCATCATCAGCATCATCATCAGCCGCATCGCCATCCCCATCCTCCTCCTCTTCCTCCTCATCCTCCTCGTCGCCGTCATTATCATCATCATCATCATCATCAGCAGCAGCAGCAGCATCATCAGCACCAGTAGCATCATCACCATCACCACCACTATCACAATCATCAGTATCAGCATCATCAGCAGCAGCATCATCATCAGGTTCAGCGTCATCATAATCGTCAGCATCAGCAGCAGCAGCATCGTCATCGTCATCATCGTCTCCATCATCATCAGCGTTGTCACCGTCGTCATTAGCATCATCATCGTCGTCAGCATCCTCATCAGCATCACCATCACCATCATCATAAGCAACATCAGTATGAGTAACATTATAAGCATCATCAGCATCGTCAGCATCAGCATCAGTATCACCACCATAACCATCATTACCATCAGCAGCATCATCAGCAGCAGTATCACCGTCGCCATTAGCATCAGTAGCATCACCATCAGCAGCAGCAGCATCATCATCATCATCATCATCATCATCATCATCAGAATCAGCATCGTCATCGTCATCATCATCATCATCAGCATCGTCATCGTCATCGGCATCTGCAGCATCAGCAGCATCAGCAGCACCACCACCACCATCATCATCAGTATCATCACTCCTCATGCTACTGCTCCTCCTGCCACCCCCGAGCGCGTCTCGGCGCAGGAGGGAAAGGCAAGTGTCCTCATCTTGCCCATTATCCTCCTCATCCTACTCGTCCTACTCCTCTTCCGCCTCCTCCTCCTTCCTCGTTCGCCTCCGCCTTAGGACTCCTTCTCGTCATCATCCTCCTCTGCAGTCCTCCTCCTCATCCTCACTCATTCAACCCATCGTCCCTCCGTCACCTTGTCATCGCTTGGACGTCCACTCCCCGGTCATGTTTCGGTATCGTACGTGTTTCCGCAAGATGATCCAAACTGCTCCTGAATGGTCCTTGCCTCGCCTCACAAATTTGCACACGTCCGAGCAATGCCAAGTCACATTCGTGCACCACCCTTCATATGTGTTGCCCCCCCCCCCATCCTGGGATGAGCTCGCGCTTCCCACAAGCACTGCCGCCCAAGCACATCGTACCACTGTCTATCTCGGCCCCTCGGCGCCCCCCCGTGTACTTCGGCGCATCGCCTACCCTGGACGGTTTCCCCCGGGGCCGTAGGCGACCCGAGGAGAGGGAGGAGGAGGAGGAGGAGGAGGAGGAGGAGGAGGAGGAGGAGGAGGAGGGAG